TAATCTGTAACCTATTACATTTCCAAAGTAACCTTACCAACACTGGTCACAACCATAGATATGTATGTAGATTCCTAAATAGTGACTATTTCTATGGGCTGCTACATAGATGCCTCATTAGTTTCTATGGACCGCTATACGTAAGCTGTTCGCTGTCCATAGAAATATGTTAGGAACATTTTTTGTTTGTTAAATTCAATTTTTTGTTTTTTAAAGTAACGCCTAAGCGGCCAGCAGCAGACAGTGACTTGATCACGTTTGATCAATTTAGCCTTCTCAAATCAACTCGACTTACCTAAAATAAAATCTATAGATATAAAACACTTCAAGCATATCACAGCGTTTAAAAGTTTAGCCTAAAAATGTGTGCTGTTCCCAAAAGCATAACTAACTATGGTTGTTAGTTCCATAATCTCTATTCGTAATGACGGAACTTGCGACCATTTTGGGAAACGCACCCCAGGAGCGCTTCACAAAAATGAACCGAAACTCAGTGAATACTTGCCTCACAGACATGATAAATATATCTATAGAAAGCTTTAAATTACTCATTTAAAATTAAATAATTCAAATTGAAAACAAAAACTCTTTCATTATGTAAGCCGTAAAGATGCAATTATCTCTAAAGGCCTGTCCAATGAGGAGATCGCGAGTCAGGATCGTCAACTTCATCTTTGCGACACTGACTCAGAAAACACTAATAATTAAAATATCTCCTTATCATTTCCCCCAGACCCAGTCATGGTAGGCTAATTATGTTTGCTGGGACTTTGTGGCAAGCTTTAGCCTATTGCATGCGCTTGAAAGCAGAATAGGCTAGCCTAAATATTGAAGGCTCATTATGGTTTAGAATTTAAGTAATTAATCTCTGGTCAGGGGCAGTCTTAAAGCCAGTCCTTTTTTTTCTATGACTCTTCCAGCTGCGCTGAAGGCACGCTCGATGCTGCTGCTGGCGGGGACACTAAACACCGTCCGAGCCGGTCTTGACAGTCGCGGTAGCATTGTATCGTGTTGTGTCCACCAGTGTGGCAAAACATTTTTATCACTATAATTGATGGATGACTAAAATAAAAAAAAATAATAAGGAGCCTAAAACAGGCCCGATGCCCAGCCTGCGTCTGAGCTATGATGTGAAAATTGGCCCGAAGCCCGGCCCTAGGGGCGTAAATAAGTTGGGGCCTGTCGGGGCTGAAGTGCAGGGCTCTAGATGTCAGAGACCCGGCTGTCTGAGTAACAACACACTAAATGGAGTTGTTACGCGTCTTCTTGTGCTTGAATGCGTTAAAATCGCTTGAATGTTCAAATTGGCAAGGTGTAGGCTATTTGTCCATTAAAGCGCAAGACGACGTGCTTTAAAAAAAAAAACAAAGTCGTGATTTGGGGCCCACTAACTTCCTGGGCCCATATGCCTGGCATACTCTGCACCCCCGTAACGGCACCCCTGCCTATACATATATAGATAGGGTCACAACTCTGTTTCTCAACGGCTCTGCCGAAGACTGTTCTTGTCGCCTAGCAACTGTGACAGCTGCCATTGACGAGCGGCAGTAATGCTTGTACTGTACTTTTTTAAAAGTTATATTCAACTGCCTAAAAAAAAACAGGGTTCAAAACCTGTTTAAATTCACCATCATCTATTTACGTACATAACAAAAAGTATAAGCTATATAAAATCACATCTTGCTAAGATATCAGTTAACATTTCAACTGTTTTATATAAGGTTAACCCTATATATTACATTGTATCATTAGATACATTACATTATTCGAGTAACTAGAACCCAGTACTTACATTTAAAAGTGTAATCTGGCAATTCGTCACCAGCGCGCATTGTACTCTTTGGTAGGGTAGGCTGCGAAGGGTCCATTTGTTCTTAGCCTTCATTGTCTGAGAAACGAAGGGTGCATTTTGAGGCCGCATTTGAGGGAGCCTTTGAATTGGGACAGCCTTTGTCACGCCACTGTGACGCAATCGCCCTTCCAATGCGGCCTTCAAAGGATGCAGCCACTGAATTGGGACATAGCAACAGTAGGCCTGTACACCAAAAGAAAAACAATACACCAAAAGAGTAGCTTGTCCGAATTCATAGTATCGTAGGATCTAGGCTACTTCAGGCGAGATTCTAAAGTGTGCATACGATGGACACTTAACTATCCCATGAGGCCACGGGAGAGAATTTATGTATGGTAGTGAAACAATGCAATTGACGCTGGAAGGTCACGTGACGGTAACAACCTGGCAGATGTAATATGTCCGAATTTCATTCATACTACCCATTCATACTATATAGAATGTACTTTTTAAACGTTCGCTAAGTAAATTCAAACTCAAATGTAGTGCCTGCTCAGTACGTTATTTTGGAAGCAATGGTTCAAGACAAGAATCCATGACATAGAACAAACTCCAACTACAGAGCAAAACAAGACCCAGACCAAAGTGGTTGAATCCAGACATCATGCTCTGCAGATAAAAACCAAAACATAACATGAGTCTCAGGATACTCACATCAAAAACTATTAACAAGGCCATCCAAGGTGACAGGATCCCAACGGTTATTTTATATATTTTAACTTGCGAACTGAACTTGTGCTTTGTTAATGATCTTAAAAAAGCATCTTATTCAGTTTAATGAAATGTTTATTGCTTACAATATATGCTTATTGCATACATAATCAAAATATAAGTACACACAAGCACTGCAAAAAAAAAGAAAATGCTTTTCAAATTGCCCCCATGACAAGCTATGGCTTATAGGTGCCATAGCAAGGTGGTTAACTAAATATTTTAGTATACTTTTTAAGAAAATCACTATTTGAGAATGACTGAAAATGTACCCATAATCATTTCCATCTGTCAAGCAAATAATGCGACATTTGCAGTCTGGAAATCTCTCTCGGATTTGAAGAAGTTCTTGGCATCCATGATTTAATGCATCATACAATAAAGTTTGTCCTTGTGGCTGAAGTTTATGAACATAATCCTAAACAACAAGGAAATAATATTAATTCTGAAGTATACTAAATGTAATCTTTTCTTTTTTCCAAAAAGTGTGTCTACTGCTCTACTGTATTGGTATACAAAAATAAAAGTTTTGAGTGAAATGCTTTAGTTATTATTACAACATGAATGAAAACCCAGCAGTAGTGTGAATACTATACATAAATGACCTGGGACATTTCAAATATAGAATAATTAAAGAACGATTAAATAACTAAAATGAAAATTTTATTTACCTTAAAGGTTTCCACTGTTTCTGTGAATGTGTGGAGCGTTTTTACGAAAGAGTCAAATTTCACAAGGCAGATAACTTGGTTAAAATTATAAGCCATGCATCGGTTTGAAAAGCTGTCAAATATTTCTTTGATGGCATTAATTCGCTTCATTGTGAAGTCTTGGTCAAAACATTCCTCACCCATGGAGGAACTCGAATCAAAGAGCACCTTTAAAAAACACTTAAATTTGGTTAAATTATTAAATGATTCATACAAGCTTTTTTTTTTTAATGAATAATTATTAATGAAAATAGCATAAGTGAAATAAACCAAAAAAGTTATATGCTATAAATATCTTAATATGTATCCTAATATTTATATTAGACATTTTTGTACTTCAGCATACATACCACAATGGCCTCTTTTGGAGTCTTAGTGACTTTGAAAGTTAGATCATCTCTGGCATCTCTCAGCCTAGGGAGTCAAATGAAATTAAATCATTCACAGTTTATAAAGTTAACTGGAAATGGTGTTCTATGACTATAATTTCGATCATTAATATAAACATTGGTTTACAAATGTCTTGGTGCTGCTTTTTTCATACAATATAGTCATTGTTAAATAATAAACAATTAATTCATATAATAAATAAACTTAATTTAAATGATAAATTAATAGCCCAGGTCTAAATAATCAAAAGTGTATAAATGTTTTCTTAGCCAGAGCAAATAGACTGTACAGTAGAGGTCGACACGGGTCCAAAAATTCGCACCCGAACCCGAAGAGACCCGTAAA